ATCTTGTATCATTGTGTTTTTTTTTTTTTTTTTTTTGTAGGGACATGCTGATCTCTGACTTGGATTTGGCCATGACATACACAGAGGTGTGTGAGGAGGTGAGAACGATGTGGGGGGTCCGAAAGGAGATGCCAATTACACTCAAGTGGATTGACGATGAAGGTATATATGACCTTTGAACTTTAGCTGCAGTGACGTCAGCAGAAAAGAAATGCTTATTTAGAAAAATAACAAGTTACAATTAATTATTCACAATAAGACCAGGAACATGCATAAAAAAAGATTAATTTTGATTTCATGTGCCTATGGTAAGAGTAAATATTTTAGTCACTTTGGATATAAACATCAGCTAAATCAGACACTTTAAAAGTTTTGATACCAGGGACCCCTAAATATGATGATTTCCTTGCAAGGAACCCTACAGAAAATATAAAGAATTTACATTTATATTATATTAGATTTATGATTTATATTTAAATTTAATAAATATAAATTATTTATATAATTTATATAAATTTTAGTTTTTCTCTGATCCTGGAGGTCTCCAGCCCAGTGTTGTTGTTATTATTAAAGATTATGCTGTTACATTATGATTATATATTCAGTGACATAAAATGGTCTTTAAAATTACAATAATATCGCTTATTGCAATTATTTCTGGGGCAATATATCGCACAACAAAAAGTTGTTATCGTGACAGGCCTATGAATCGCCTTAACGAGTCCATATATTTTCGAATCTTCTGTCTGTTACCGATCTACATCACTGGGTAACACATTTGCATAATCCCCACCTAACTGTACACTCGGTTACCTGCCCACAAACACTTCCGCTAGTTAGTGTGTTTACATCATGTCGAGAAGACGCTGTGTTCAAGGATACCACAGAAATACAATTTGAACCTTTTGTTGTATGCTCGTCATTTTACCGAGGACTGCTTCTCTAATCTTGGCTTTTATCTTCATCGGCTTCTAATCTTCTATATTTGGACTAACAAGCTCTCCGAACCACAACCTGAAAGTACAATTGATACGTTATGTGTACATTTTCAATTGAGTACTTAAAATATCAATTTTTTTTGCTAATATGTGATGTATACCTAGTGCAGCTTTAGGTTTCCAGGTAAACTGCGATATTACTGTCTTACTGAAATAGTTCTGATAATTCACTGTGAACCCACTATTTCCTAAGAATGTGTCAGAGTGTCGTTGTTCTAATTTACTTCGTTTAAAGAATGTAGTGTAGCGCACAGACTTTATAATCATTATGAAATTGCGGTTTATTTTGCTGCACCGGCAGTCATACGGTTAATGCAGGGAGTAAAAGATCCGGTAGAGAGAGACGAGTGAGTTAGACTGGTGCGCCTTCGATACAGCTGTTCTGCATTCTAATTAAAAGTTAAAGGGGGA